CTTTGCTGTGTGGGCCAGCACTCTAACCACTGAGCAACACCAGCCAGGCCTAGTCGTGAATTTGTGGCACATGCTCAGAAGAATCTTTGTCTTCATTGGTCAGCTGATTAGCACACAGCTATTTAGAGCTCAAGGCAAACTTAAGTTGAAATCCTGGATTTGAACCTCATTTTAGAATACAACCTTAGGCCTACTCCATTGACTTTCTATCTACCATTTTGCAAATGACATGCCACTGATCATGAGAGAATGAATTGGCCCAAACTGGGACTGGCTCAACACAAACTTACTGCTTTTGGAAAATAACACACAGAGAATGCTAGACTCATTGCAAGTCAGACACCCAAGCAGGCGGGGGCTGCGTCCCACGTGGAGTGTTTCTCTTGGCCCTCTGCGTGCAGCATCAGGGATTCTTCCACATGGCCACAGTACCTGACTGTTTAGTAAGGGGCACTGACCTCTTTTTCCTTAGATAGTTAAATTAAAAAATGACAACAGTCAACACAATAATAGCCATCTGGTATGAATGAATCAAAATTATTCCTATGTTCTTGTCAGACCTGCAAAAAATATAACATTTTTTTTGGTGTGTTGCAGAATTTTAGTAATTAGTTTGTGTGCACCATAAGATAGAAAACGTTGGAAATTGCTGAGTTAAGGTGATAGTGTTGTTATAGATACGCTGCCCGGTGGCACGGGAGAATAATCAGTTGGGCACTCGGGAGTCAGAATAGGAGCCTTTAATGCACTAGTGCCGTGACGCAGGGGAGTCAGTCTCCAAATCCTGAGTGGTGAATATGGACGAAGCTTTCCCTGTATACCCTTAGTTCCTTTGTCCCCCAAATATGGATCAGGCTTCTGGACTTTTTGCGGGCTTTGCAGCCCCCGTGAATTGGCATGGGGGAAGTGAGATTACACTCAGAGGCCTGTCTGGCGCCAGTGCTGCCAGCATGCTCAGTGGGTTGTATATGGTTCATGGTTTATGGCCTCGTAAAATGGGAGTATTCCAGGAAACAGGTTCTGCAAGGCAGGACAGGCATCACAGATAGGAACAGAGTTTATGGGCAAGCAAGAGTGTGCGTCAGAATGCAGGTTACTGGCACAGATTCAGATAGCTAGCCGCCCCAATGTCTTATTTTTCCTATCAGTGTAAATTTAAATAGTGGCCTCAAGTTCATATTGGAGACTTGACCTTTGGTAGAGTAGAATAAAAGAGAAATTTTCTACTTTATCCTTCCTCTAGGGCATCAGAAAGAGAGAAAAAGGAGAACAGGTTGAATATGCTAATTTGAAATAATTTTTTCTTAAATTATTATTATTATTTTTTAAAATATATTTTATTGATTTTTTACAGAGAGGAAGGGAGAGAGATAGAGAGTTAGAAACATCGATGAGAGAGAAACATTGATCAGCTGCCTCCTGCACATCTCCTACTGGGGATGTGCCTGCAACCAAGGTACATGCCCTTGACCGGAATCGAACCTGGGACCCTTCAGTCTACAGGCCGACGCTCTATCCACTGAGCCAAACCGGTTTCGGCTCTTAAATTATTTTAATAACTACTTAACAATTGAGTCAGATTTATTTTAATTTATATATTTTTATTTTATTAAATAAATGATAAATCAAACTACCATTTTCCAGCTTCATTGCCAGCCCATTAGAGATTAGTTGAGTTTAATAAATTGAAGTGTCCAGCTTCTGTGTGTGTGTGTGTGTGTGTTCAGCTTTTTATGCCCATTGGACCTGTGGAATTTCTGATACATTGATATTTTCCAATGACATGTTTTATTTGAGATTATGATGTACTCATAACACATTATCTTAAGTCTCTTTTCCCAGCACTAAATTTACTTATTCAGCAAACATATTAAGCCCCTATTATGTGCTATTTTTTGGGTAGTCACATTGCTTATAAAGCTGAAACTACAAAGGTTAATTAGATACCTGCCCTATATTTTAGTCCATCAGTGATCATCAAATTATGTGGAACTCTAGTTGGATTTTTGTTTTGGACATAATATTCCTTACCCCACTGCTTAAAATTTTAATGCCCAAAGAAATAATCCACAAACAGTTGTAAACCAGGAAAAATGTACAGAATTAGATAATTCCTCAAAGAATCTTATAAACACATCTATAATTTTATGGTTTTTAAGTAGTTTGTATATTTATAATATGGCCCCTTACTAAATAGTCAGGTACTGACTGCATGTTTTATCCTCCCCTCCCCCATGACATGGGCTTTATTTGAGGACTGTTGAGGGAAGAGAGAGAGGAGGTGGGAATGGTGGATTTGGGGAAAGGGGCTTCTCAACTTGCTTTTTACTTTAGTGCAGGTTGCCTGGAGGCTGGGATGAGTGAGAATGCTGTAGAGGTGAGAGAGGAGGAAAAGGGAAGGCCATGGAATGGACACGTTCTTAGGGAAAAAAGCCAGGCCAGGATATTGGGACCATGGGTGGGGAGGGAAGGCACTCTTCATATACTGAGACTCAACCAAGGTCACTGCTCAATGCCAACTTCCCCAGGCCCACTGCCCCATGCCGGCTCCTGACCCAAATGCCTGCCCTGCTAGCTTCCTCAACTTCCTGTGGAGAGGAGGAGGATGAAGATGTGGGGAATGGTGGAACCTCTGCCTCTGGGTCCCTTTCCTAGGAGAATTGCTCCTAGGCAAGTTCTATTTATAGCTGCAATTCCCAATGTATTTTAACAGTATTTTGTTGGTGGGTTTCTAGCAAATGACAAATATGTCAAACTTTTAACTGGATGACTCCACTCTCCCTCTGCCTAGGCTGAGTGCTTCCACAATTTTTATTGCATGTAGTTTTCTTTTTGTTTAAAGATGGCCTATCTATATTTTGTGTACAGGGGTTTTTATTTTAAAGTAGTTGTCTATGAACTCGTTAAAATTTGAAAAATGCAGACTTGTAAAAAGAATAAAAAATATCCCTGTATTCCCAAAGATAATTACTATTTTCTTTAAAAAAATTTATATAGCCCTAGCTGGTTTGGCTCAGTGGATAGAATGCCTGTCTGCGGACTGAAGGGTCCCAAGTTTGATTCTGGTCAAGGGCACATGCCTGGTTGCAGGCTCGATCCCCAGTAGGGGGCATGCAGGAGGCAGCTGATCAATGATTCTCTCTCATCATTGATATTTCTATCTCTCCCTCTCCCTTCCTCTCTGAAATCAATAAAAATATATTTAAAAAATAAATATGTTTTTATATGGATAAATTAACTCTGTAGAAAATTTCTCTTTTATTCTACTCTACTAGAATGGTAATTTCTCCAGGCCTCTAGAGCTTCCCTTATGTCACCCAGTGGATAAATTATTTTGGAAAGGTCTCATCTCAAATAAAGACAGTTTCTGGAATTTTTCTACATGTACCATTGTTACAATGCATTTTAATATTTCAAAATGCATGGTTATTATAAAAAAAATCAATGTATAAAGAATTTTGCCTGCAGATAATCTTTTCTGTATGCTCTTGGCAGCATTAGCACTAAGCAGTCCTCCTGAGTCAGACCTTAATTCTGTGATTGAAGATGTTAAAAGCAGCAACTTTTCCTCTCTCCACTTAGAATAAAGGGCCTAATTCAGATGAACTCACTGCTTTCTCCATGCTTTATGAAATGTTTATCGAACTGAACATAGTGAAGTAGGCAACTGAATGCTGAAACACTGGAAAGAAAACATGTTGCTCATAATGCTCAGAAAGTCTTTTCTGTACCATTAGGTAAAAAATATTGCACATCTACACTAATAACAGACAAAGATGCTAATTGACCATACCTTCGCTACACTCACCAGCCAATCAGAAGAGTATGCAAATTAACCCAACAAAGATGGCCATTAAATTTGCATACTGCAGGTAGATCCCTTTGCTCCACCCTTTGCCTGTGGCAGCGCAATCCTGAGCCGCCACCCGCCCCAGCGCAGGATCTGGGCCTGCCGTGTGTGGCCTGGGGGAGACGGGGCAGGCACCGCAGGATCGGGCGTGCCATCTGCCACCAGGGGAGCGGACCTAAGCCAGCAGGTGGTTATCTCCCGAGGGGTCCCAGACTGTGATAGGGCACAGGTTGGGCTGAGAGACCCTCCCCCCCACCCCCACCAGTGCACAAATTTTTGTGCACCGGACTTCTAGTCCTATATAATAAAAGGGTAATATGCAAATCGACCAAAAGGCAGAATGACTGGTCGCTATGACATGCACTGACCACCAGGGGGCAGACGCTCAACACAGGAGCTGCCCCCAGCCCCCAGGCCCTGATCACGATTGCCTGATTGGGGCCTGCCGGCCAACCTCTCGGTCCCTTCCCCTGGCCAGGGAGGCTCTGATAGTTTGATGGGGAATGGGGAACCAGGGGTGGGTGGCAGTGGATGTGGGCAGCACCAGGCCAAGGCCCCCGCCCCACCAGTCACCCCACACACAGAGGGCAACTGGTGGCAGGGGACGGGGCCAGCAAGTGGGCAGGAACGGCCAACCTCTTGGTTTTTCCCCCTGGCTGGCAGGCTCTGATTGCCTGATGGCGAACAGGGAACCTGGGGTGGGTGGCAACAAGCACGGGTGGTGCTAGGCCAAGGCCCCTGCCCCACTGGTCACCCCACACATGGCGTCTGGTGGCGGGGGACGGGGCCAGCAAGCAGGTGGGAATGGCCAACCTCTTGGTTCTTTCCCCCAGCTGGCAGGCTCCAATTGCCCAATGATGAATGGGAAACTAGTGGTGGGTGGCAGCGGGGGGCAGGGCTGGCTGCCAGCAGCTGGGGAAGATGGCCCTGATTGCAGGCCAGGCCTAGGGACCGTACCTGTGCACGAATTTCATGCACTGGGCCTCTAGTTATTTATAAACAGCCAAAATTGACTAATGCTGGTAATTTTTCTCATTAGAGCCTTCCAGCAAAGTTATTGAATATTATCTAATTTCAGCTGTAATTTCACATGATCTGTGTTGACCTAGTAATTTATGGTTCCAATAAGTGCTTTCCCCTTTTGTTTAAGCTATTAATCCTAGATACGTGCTGAAGAACTGGATGGCAGAGTCTGCAGTGCAGAAAGCAGAAAGGAATGATTTTTCAGAGGTAAGGTGGTTGACTTTTCTGCATATATATATTTTTATTAATTTTAACTATGTCACATTTAAATTTTTTATTTTATTTTTTATTGTTGATAGTATTTACAGATATCTCCCATTTCCCCCCCCTCCCCCCCAACCCCTTTAATCTCCCTCTGTTCAGGCCCTGCCTACCACACAGGTCTTCATCACTCTATTGTTTGTGTCCATGAGCTATGCATATAAGTATGTAAGTTCTTTGGTTTATCTCTCTTCATTCCCCCACCCCCACATGGAGGTTTGTCAGTCTGTTCCATGCCTACATGCTTCGAGTTTTATTTTGTTGGTCAATTAGTTTTATTCATTAAATTCCACAAATAAGTGAGGTCATGTGATATTTGTTTTTCTCAGATTGGCTATTTCACTTAGCATAATAGTCTCCAGGTTCATCCATGCTTTTGCAAGGGGCAAGAGATCCATCTTTTTTACACCTGCATAGTATTTCATTGTGTAAATGCCCCACAGCTTTTTTATCCACTCATCTACTGATGGGCACTTTTCAAATATTAGCTACTAGTGGCCTATTGCACAAAATTTGTGCACTCGGGGGGGGGGGGTCCCTCAGCTAGGACACACTTTGCTCTTTTCTATATCTTCTATTTATCTCCTTATTATGTTCATGCTTTTCTTTAAGTTCCTCAACATATTTATAATAGCTGTCTAAAATTCTTGTCTGCTTTTGATCATTATTGTTTTTTAGTCTATTTATATTTCCTAATTTTGATTCCCACTTTCCTGCTTCTTCCCAGTAATTGCTAAGTGTCGAAATTTTTTGTTCTTCTTTTAAAGAGCAGCTTTACTTGGAAGACAGTTAAAGTGCCTGCAGATTAGCTTTCAAGACTTGAATTTAAGCTCTGTTGGTATGGAATTATGGTAGCCTTTAATCTAGGGCTATTTAGCCTTAATATCGTGGGGTGACCAGGCCAGCAGGGGGATTAGTAAGAGATGACCAAATGACCAAACAGCAGGCTGCGTGGGGTGACCAGGCCCTCTGGGGGGCAGTTGGGGATGACCAGGTTGGCATGGGGGGCAGTAAGGGGCTACCAGGCCGGCAGGGGGTGCAGTTGAGGGCGACCAGGCCAGCATGGGGGTCAGTAAGGGGTGACCAGGCTGGCAGGGTGGGGGGCAGTTAGGGGCGACCAGGTCGGTGGGAGGCACAGTTGGGGGCGACCAGGCTGGCAGGGGGGACAGTAAGGGGCGACCAGGTCAGCGGGGGGGCAGTTAGGGGTGACTAGGCCAGCGGGGGGTGGGGCCATTGGGGGTAACTAGGTGAGTGGGGGGGCAGTTAGGGGCAATCAGGCAGGCAGGCAGGTGAGCAGTTAGGAGCCAGTGGTCCCGGATTGTGAGAGGGATGTCCAACTGCCGGCAGTCAGACATCTTCCAAGGGGTCCCGGATTGGAGAGGGTGCAGCAGGCTGGGCTGAGGGGACCCCCCCACCCTGTGCATGAATTTTGTGCACCAGGCCTCTAGTTGTAAATAATGCTGCAATGAACATACGGGTGCAATATTCTTTCAAATTAGTGTTTCTGTTTTCTTTATATATATTCCCAGAGTGGAATCAGTGGGTCATAATACAGTTCCATTTTGAATTTTTTGAGGAAACTCCATACTGCTTTCTCCAGTGGCTGTTCCAATCTTCATTCCAAGCAATGGTACACAAGGGTTCCCTTTTCTCTATCTTCGTGCAGCACTTTGTTTGATGATAGCAAAGATTTGAAGAAGCCCAAGTGTCTATCAATAGATGAGTGGATAAAAAAAGCTGTGGTATATTTACACAATGGAATATTACTCGACTGTAAAAATGAAGGAAATGTTACCATTTGCAACAGCCTGGATTGACCTGGAGAGTATTATGCTAAGTGAAACACGCCAGTCAGAGAAAGACAAGTCCATATTATTTCACTTGTATGTAGAATCTAATGAACTAAATAAACAAAATAGAAACAAATGCATAGATATAGAGAACAGACTAACAGCTGTCAGAGGGGAAGGGAGTAGGGTGCTGGGTGATAAGGGTGAAGGGATTAAGCAAAAAACAAACAAACAACTCATAGACACAGACAAAGTATGGTGATCACCAGAGGGAAAGGGGGGTGGGAGAGGTAGAAAAAGGTAAAGGGGGGATAAAAGGTGATGGAAGAAGAATTGACTTTTTGTGACAAAGACACAATACAATATACAGATGATAAGTTATAGAATTGTACATTTGAAACATAATTTTGTGAACCAGTGTCACCCCAATAAATTCAAAAAAAATAAAAAAAATAGAAAATCAATATCTCTTGTCAGGACCATAGGTGTAGTTTCCAGTGTCCCCACAGGAGACCTGCCTTGAGAGTCACCACACTAAAGAAAGCCCTAGGGGGTGGAGGGGAGAAACCAAGATGGCAGCATAGGTAAACACCGGAGATTGCTGCCTCGCACAACCACTTCAAAAATACAACTAAAAGACAGAACGGCCATCACCCAGAACCTCAGGAAGGCTGGCTGAGTGGAAATTCTACAACTAGAAGGAAAGAGAAAAGCATACCGAGACTCAGAGGAGGCGCAGTGCAGATGTAAAATACTAAGGTGCGGAGGAGGTGCATGCGGAGCAGGCTGGCAGCTGAGGGCGCGGTTGTCGGGAGGGAGTCTCAGGCTCTGAGCTCCAGTTCTGAGTGAGTCTCTAGGGACCCAGACTCATACGGGAGAAGCGGGGACTGTCTGGCAGCGGTCGGAACTCGAGGGAAGCTTTCTCTCCGAGGGGCTTGCAGCGATTACCGGGACATTAAGAAGCAAAGCCTCTGAGGGTAGGACTGAGATCAGCCATACCTGCTAGCCCCGCCCTGTTGATCTCATGGGACCTGCCCTGCCAAAGCCCTGTAGGGAGGCTTTTGCTGGATAGCCTCAGGCAGAGGCTAGATTAGCACCTCCCTAGAGATCCAGGAGCCAGGAAGCCAGAGGTCAGAGTGGGACCATCCAGTTTGCAGCTCTGTGGAAACATAAAGGACACACTCAGGGGGCAGACTCAGTGAGCACCAAAGCCCCACTGAAGCAAGTCTTGCCCCAGAGTGATGTCTCCAGCACAGAAGTTCTCCTACTGCAGACACAGCTGATTCTCACAGCCAATTGGCCTGGAGGCCAATTCCTCCCAGTGATACCTACAACAATCAAGGCTTAACTACAACAAGACTGTGCACAAAGACCACAAGGGGGTGCACCAAGAGTGTCCTCCTCAGGTAATTGGGGAGGCTGAACCACTGGGCCCTAGAGGACACTTAGCACAGAAAACCACTGTATCAACACAGGGAAGCATAAAAAATGCGGAGACAAAGAAACAGGTCACAAATGACAGAAATGGAGGAAAGCAAACTACTGGATATAGAGTTCAAAACCACACTTTTAAGGTCTTTCAATAATTTCTAGAAACTGCCGATAAACTTAATGAGATCTACAAGAAATCTAATGAGACCCTCGATGTTGTGATAAAGAACCAACTAGAAATTAAGCATACACTGACTGAATAAAGAATATTATACAGACTCCCAACAGCAGACTAGAGGATTGCAAGAGTCAAGTCAACGATTTGAAATATTTGAAATATGAAGAAGCAAAAAACACCCAACCAGAAAAGCAAAATGAAAAAAGAATCCAAAAATACGAAGATAGCGTAAGGAGCCTCTGGGACAGCCTCAAGCATACCAACATCCGAATTATGGGGGTGCCAGAAGAAGAGAGAGAGCAAGATATTGAAAACCTATTTGAAGAAATAATGACAGAAAACTTCCCCTACCTGGTGAAAGAAATATACTTCCAAGTCCAGGAAGCGCAGAGAACCCCAAACAAAAGGAATCCAAAGAGGACCATACCAAGACACATCATAATTAAAATGCCAAGAGCAAAAGACAAAGAGAGAATCTTAAAAGCAGCAAGAGAAAGAAAGTCAGTTACCTACAAGGGAGTACCCATATGACTGTCAGCTGATTTCTCAACAGAAACTTTGCAGGCCAGAAGGGAGTGGCAAGAAATATTCAAAGTGATGAATGCCAAGAACCTACAACCAAGATTACTTTATCCAGCAAAGCTATCATTCAGAATTGACAGTCAGATAAAGAGCTTCACAGATAAGAAAAAGCTAAAGGAGTTCATCACCACCAAACCAGCATTATATGAAATGCTGAAAGGTTTCTTTAAGAAGAGGAAGAAGAAGAAAAAGGTAAAGATACAAATTTTGAACAACAAATACACATCTATCAACAAGTGAATCTGAAAATCAAGTGAATAATCTGATGAACAGAATGAACTGGTGATTATAATAGAATCAGGGGCATAGAAAGGGAGTGGACTGACTATTCTTGGGGGGAAAGGGGTGTGGGGGATGCAGGAAGAGACTGGACAAAAATCGTGCACCTATGGATGAGGACAGTGGGTAGGGAGTGAGGGAGGAGGGTGGGGTGGAAACTGGGTGGAGGGGAGCTACGGGGGGAAAGAAGAGGAACAAATGTAATAATATGAACAATAAAGATTTAATTAAAAAAAATGGGTGGAGGACCTGAATGGACACTTCCCCCAAGAGGACATACAAGTGGCCAAGAGACATATGAAAAATGCTCAAAGTCAGTAATCATCAGAAAGATGCAAGTTATAAGGACAATGAGGTACATGCTCATACCTGTCAGAATGCCTACCATCAATAAATCAACAGACAAGTGGTGAGGATGTGGAGAAAAGGGAACTCTGGTACACTGCTGGTAGGAATGCAGATTGCTACAGCCACTATGGAAAATAGTATGGAGTTTTCTTAAAAAATTAAAAATGGAACTGCCATTGACCCAGTGATCTCAATTCTAGGAAAATATCCTAAGAAGCCTGAAACACCAATCAGAAAGAATATATGCACCCCTATATTTATAGTAGTGTTATTTACAATAGCTAAGATCTGGAAACAGCTCAAGTGCTCATCAGTAGATGAGTGGATTAAAAATGGTGGTACATTTACACAGTGGAATACTATGCAGCTATAAAAAAGAAGGATCTATTAGCATTTGAGACAACATGAAGGGACCTGGATATTATTATGCTAAGGGAAATAAGCCAGAGAAAGACAAATAGCATATGATCTCACATATATGTAGAATCTAATGGGCAAAAAAAAAGGTTGAATAAAATAGTACCAGAGGCATGGAAAGGTGGAACTGACTGACGAATCTCAGAGGGAAGGGGTGGGGAGGGTAAGAGATTAACTAAGTACTTATATTCATGCATGCATAACCCATGGACACAAACAATTGTGCAGAGAAGGCCTGGGGAGGAGGAAGGAATGGGGAAGATGGGGTCGATGGGATAAAAAGGGGGGACATCTGTAATAATTTCAACAATAAAGATAAGTTCAAAAAACGAAAAAAAAAAAAAAGAAAGCCCTAGGGATTATATCAGGGATTTATAGTTCTCCCAAGCCAGAAGCTATTTTTCAGTCAAAAGCAATGTTGTGTGGTGATACAGTTGACTTACCACACCTCACCTCATCAGGTTGCCAGGGAACAGACCTAGAATGTTAACTAAAGTTTACATTCTCATGCAGGAAAGGAAAAAAAAAGTTTATTTTTGATAAACCTTTTACATGAAATCCTTTACATATACAACTTGTGTTTACCTTCTTGCTTCAAACATTTCTTGAGAATCCACTCTATGTGAGGTGCTGTGGATAAGTATAAAAATTGATTCAAGGAGCTTTCAAACTAGAAGGGGAGATCAGATAGATTTAAGACCGACTTTAATAAAAGGATGTGTATAGAAAGTACCTGGGGAGAGTTGAAGGCTCTAACATTGATGATGATGCAGTCTTTCTATTTAAAATATTGGTAGGATAGTAGTATACTCTATTTGATCTCTTGGCTTTACTTTCTTATTATAATCATCCACTGTTTTCTATCAGAACTATGCATTTTCTTAATGCAAGAAAGTGATAAAACCAGTGGGAAAATAGTTTAAATTGAGATATAGTTAACATATAATGCTATATTAGCTTCAGGTGTACAACATAATGATTCTTGCAAAATGATCACCACAATAAGTCTAGTTAACATCAATCACCATATGTGGTTACAAAACTCTTTTTTTTACTTGGGATGAAGACTTTTAAAATTTACTCTCAGCAGCTTTCAAATATGCAATATTGTATTAAATATAGCCACCATACTGTACATTACATCTCCATGATTTAATTATTTTATAACTGGATGAAAATATATATTTCCCCTAGAATTATTATTTAAAGAAGTGTGTTCTTTGATGCCTCAGTTTATAACCATGGGGCAAAATTGTAATATTTGTTACTTAAAATTTCTATTTTTCCACAGAAAATTCCTTAGTACTTGGGGCAAAATGAGGAAGCAGTCTCAGTAGGAATCAGGCCCTTGATTTGTAATGATTGAAAATTATTGACATTGTTTTATTTTTTTCAATATTTCAGAAAATTATAATCCTCTAACTGCTGTGAATTTTAATAATCAGGATATATATGTAGTCTTCATGACACTGTACATATTCACTCTCCTGTTTTAACATAAAACTAGTACTTAAGGAACTTTCTGTGGAACAATAGAAATTTTAAGTAACAACTATAATTGAAGTTTTAATAAAATGTAAAATGTTCAAACATTTTCAAACAAATTTAAAATGTCCCTTGTTAGAAATTTAGAAAACTAATAAGGGTCCTAATGGAGAAAATCTATATTTATCTATTTAAATTGTTTACCAGGTCTATCTTCTGCAGCAAGTTCTTCAGCATCCTTTTCAGAAGCATTCTGCAGCTGAGAAAGCAGGCTACTCCTCACCTACTCCTGCTTGGGCTAGACATCTCAGAGTTAGCTGCTCATCTTGATTTGGAAAAAAGAAATTAAAGAATACTTCTGTCATTGAACTTAACATAGAATAATTAATTTCATAAATTCTTATCTACATTTTGATGAAAATCCTGAATTTCATAGTGATTATATATAAAAATATTCTTAACTAGATAAACTGGACCTATTTTTTATAACATCTTTGTGATCATTTCTCCCCCCCCCCCCCCCAAAGCTGCTTTATCATATATTTGAGTTACAGGAATTTACATCACATCTGGGAGGGCCTTTGACATCATGAGATCCACCCCCTTAACACTGGGCGGGAGAATCAAACTGGGTGGTCTTTGTCTGGTCCCGCCTCCAGGGCGGGGCTTTTGCCCTCACACGGAATCCAGCTGATGTAAATTAAGCCAAGTGTATTCTACAGGCCCTTAACACCTCCCCCTTTTTAAATATATTTTTGCAGCTAAAATCAAAAGCAAAACCTTACATCAAGAACAAGGCTTTGACTAAAAACTAATAACAAATTGACATCAATGCAAACACAATAATAGTAGAGAAATCAAACTACAGCTACGTCAATATTCTTGCTACTGATTGAAAAGTCTCTTTTGCTGCTGGTGCATATTTGCTCAGAGTCCTTAGAGTTGATTGTGCAATGTCTTATAGAAGGCTGGCAGCTAACCAATGTCAGCATGGCCAGAAACATGGTTGCCTTGTTTCTGCCTTCTGTTGGCTTTAGTAGTTAACTCCTTCTGCATCACTGTCATCAGGGCAACTCTCAGTCCCTTGAACGATGGGGCAAGCAGCTTCTCTGGGTCCATCATGGCGACGCACGTAACGCTCTGGCATCCAGATTGGCTGTGCTGTTCCTTCTGGAAAGATAAAAAACACAACCTCTTCCCGACATTATTATTGCATCTGAAAAAATTTTTGTCTGGTTTTTGCCTTCTTCAACCAGGCTAAATTTACTAAATTTACTAAATTTACTCCTCCACTTGGTGGAGGAGGCCTGATGCCTTTTGGCTGCTGTACAACCCTCTGCATTGCAATTCAAAAAATTTTAAAATATAAAGCAAAAAATTTTTAAGTATAAAATCATGACTGAGTTTGCATTTGAGGTGAGACATAACTTCTGTCTCCCCCTTTTTGTTTTATTTTATTTTTTAAAAATATATTTTATTGATTTCTTACAGAGAGGAAGGAAGAGGGATAGAGAGTTAGAAACATCGATGAGAGAGAAACATTGATCAGCTGCCTCCTGTACACTCCCTACTGGGGATGTGCCTGCAACCAAGGTACATGCCCTTGACCTGAATCGAACCTGGGACCCTTGAGTCCGCAGGCTGAGGCTCTATCCACTGAGCCAAACCGGTTAGGGCCCCATTTTTGTTTTAATAATTGCATCTTAATAGTATGGTTGGTTTACTTCAAAATAGCTTGAGAATTAATAAGTGATATTAGTTTTATGATAAATTTGATATTGCTGACAAAAATACTGAAAACAGAATTAGCGTACGTGAATCCATTGTCTGTCTTTAGCTTTAAGGGAGGTCCTAGTACCGTAAAGGCAATAATTAATTATGTGCTAGGCACTCTTCCCTGTTACTTTTCCTTAATACATCTTGATAAGTGAAAGCTTCTTGAAAGGTTTGAGTCCTTTTCAGACTCTTTAATTCACATTTGCAGACATATAGCAGATTACTGCTAACATGGAAAGAAGGATGTTCTCAGGTGTCCCTGGGCTCTTGGTCGCTTCCGGGCTCCTTGTTGTCCACTTCGTCTTCTTCCCACTTCCTATCTTCAGTGGGATGCTTGGGATCATTGCTATCTGTGGGCCGGGCAATTGATTATCTGCAGCTGTAAGGCGTGTCTCCTGGTGTGGACTCCTCTTTAAGTTGGCCAGTTCCTCCCTCAGGTCCATGTTGAAGTTAATATTTCTTGTGGGAATCCACACAGGTTTGAGAAATTTTCTTTTCTGTTCTGTGACGGCCGCAATACTCTGAGGCAATCCCTAAAGAAATGGCTAACCTCCTTGCTTTGCCCCCCCCCCCCCGCCCCCCGCTGAGCCCCACGTTGGGTGCCAGAATATTCCAAGCGGTTTCCTGGGGCTGTCTTCTTCCTGCATCCCGCACAGAGAAGGAGACTTAACCGGTTCGTGCAATCTAGGTGGCGCTTTTGGGATTGAAGAAATAATGAAAGAGAGACATAAAATAGATTAAAAGCTTGGGCTGGGTGTGGTGCCTGCCCTCCGGAGGGACAGGCAAAGAGAGCCTACCCTCTGGAGGAACAGAGCACACAGAGCCATTTTTGTTTGAATTAATAACTTTAGTGGAATAATGAAGTGTTTTTGGTAAATCACGAGTTATCCTCAATAACTGAGAAATCTTGATAATATTTTAATTTGTAAGTATTCATCTAATACTATGTACCCAGTACTTTGGGACACATCTAATAAGTATAATAATTTCACTGTACTCTAGAGCTTTGTTTTGTCTATTACGGTCATTCTCAAACATTAACTAAAGAAAAGAGCATAGTTTAATGAACCTCATTTACCATTCATCCAGCTTATCAATCATCAATGCATGACCAATCTTGCTTCATCTACACCCCTACACACTTCCCTCAAGTTCCTAGTTACTATTTTAATTGAGGTATAATTTATATATCTCCAAGTATTTTAAAGCCCTGCTGGTTTTTCTCAGTGATTAGAGTATTAGCCCACAGACTGAAGGGTGGTGGGTTTGATTCCAGTCAAGGGCACGTACCTTGGTTGCAGGCCTGATCCTCGGCCCCCATCAGGGTACATGTGGGAGGCAACTAATCGATGGGTCTCACATGGATGATTCGCTTTCTAAAAATCAATGAAAAAAAAAAAATCCCCACGTAAGGATTAACACACACACACACACACACACACACACACACACAAGAATTTCCCAGCCCTGACTGGTTTGGCTCAGTGGATAGAGCATCAGCCTGTGGACTGAAGAGTCCCAGGTTCGATTCTGGTCAAGGGCATGTACCTTGGTTGTGCGCACATCCCCAGTAGGGGGTGTGCAGGAGGCAGCTGATCGATGTTTCTCTCTCATCATTGTTTCTAACTCTCTATCCTCTCCCTTCCTCTCTGTAAAAAATCAATAAAATATATTAAAAAAAGAATTTCCCAGACATTGTTTCATTTAGTTTATAGATATTTCTGTATGCATCTCCAAACATTAATAATTTAAACACATACCCATGATAACATTATCATCTTAAGAGAATTAACAACTAACTCCCTAATACATGAAACCAAATAACCAATTTTCAAATTTTTCCCATTATTTTATGTTATCAGCATTATATTTATATATAAAAGGCTAATATGCTAAGTGTCCATCTGGGTAATGACATCATGTAGCAACACCCACTTCCTCTCCCTAGTGACTAGCCTCCTTAGAGTTTCTTTAGCCCAACTTGCTTTATAGCCAGGTGGAAACATTTTACATTTTAAACAAATGTCTGAAGTGTTTTCACATGCCTCATCTCATTTGATCCTCACAGAAGTCCTGGAGTAGGTAGATAGAAGACTTGGTGGAATCCTATTTTCTTTTCATTAGCCGGAAAAACAGAGATTTAGAAAACTTAGAAACTTGACCTGACTGAAAAGAAGTAAGAAATGGTGGATCTTGAAAATGACTTCAGGTTTTCTCACTGCGCAGAATATAGTCAAACACTGCTACAGTTAAATATTTTACCCTTTGTTCTCCCTGTGTGATCTACAATAATAATATGCTCCGTGTTGATATTTACTGCTGTGTTGCTGACAATTACCTGAAAGAGAAGTTGGGGTGCTTCACTGGGCTGGAAAAAGTTTAGCTAATCAGAAAGCAGGTCTAATCAAGTTTATTCTATATCTATAAAAGGCTAAGTTGACTCACGCATGCGCGATACATATAAAGCTCTCACTGGCACAAATTGCACATGTGTGTTTCCATCTGTCATTGTTGACCATGAATTTGGGTGACACTTCTATAGAGAAAGGGCAAATAGCGATATTAAAATATTTCTTTTAATCATTTTCCTTTCAATGTGCACGAATTCGCATACCGGGCCACTAGTTATTTTATAATTGTTTATTTGAATTGGGATACACCTAGGGACTGCACATTAAAATTAGATAATAAAACTTCTTAAGTTTATTTTTAAATTTTTTTAAATGATTTTAGAGAGAAAGAGGAAGGGAGAGAGAAGGAGAGAGAGAAAGAAACATTGATTTGTTGTTCCATTTATTTATGCATTCATTGATGATTCTTTTACATGCCCTGACTTGGGTTCAGAGCTGCAGCCTTAGCTTTTCAGGACAATGCTCTAATCAACTGAGCTACCCAGATAAGTACTCTTAAGTTTTTTTGTGTGTTTTTTAAATCTGGCCACATCTTTTTTTCTTGCAATTTTTTGTTTAGTTTTGAAGAAACCAGATAATTTATTCTGTAGTGTTTCCCAGTCTGTATTTTGCTGATTACATCTCTGTGGTATTAACATGTTGCTGCGTCCTTTATCTATATATATAAAACCCTAATATGCAAATAGACCAAATGGTGGAACAACCAAATAACTGGTCGCTATGATGTGTGCTGAACACCAGGGGACACATGTGGAATATGGTGGGCATCGCCGTGGCGGGATGGTGGAGCAGGTGAGTGGGGGTGCCAGACCAAGGTGGGGCACTAGTTGCTGTCATCGGGGTGAGCCTCTGGTGGTTACTGAAAATTCTTTGCTCCCGCATGCCATGGTTCCGTCCGGCTCACACCCTCTGCTGGTGCCTAGCGCCGGCCCTGATCACTTGGCACCGTCAGCAAGTGCGAGTGGCAGCTGCTGGCCCCAATTGTCCCTGAGGGCTTCTCCACATCCCCCTGCTCCTGAGGGGTGATTGGGGCACCAGCTGCTGCTCACACCCACTGACAGCGCTGGCTCCGCTCGCACCCGCTGCTGGTGCCGGCTCCAATAACTCCACGCCGTCAGTGTGTGGGAGCAGCGGCAGCAGTGGGAGCGGGGCTGCTGGCAGAGAGGGGACCAGGGGCCACAGTGGGAGCGGCCAGGTGGGGGCACGGAAGATGGGTCGAGACCCACCCCTGTACCCACCACAGCCTAGCAACCCACAGTTCCTTTCAAGGTGCATGAATTTGTGCACTGGGCCCCTAGTATT